TATATATATGTATGTATATTGAAGAGTAGTTTTTCGAGCCAAAACGAGCCGAACACATCTTTGTTTGTGTTCGACTCGTTAACTTATCCAATAAAATTAACGAGCCAAACACGAGCTTCTTAACAAGTCCTACACGAGCTTTTCACAAATAACGAGCCGTTTTGTCAGCCCTAATTGCAAGACTTGAAGCTCATGGATTGAAGCAAAGGTAAGTGTGTACACCCCAATCCTAATTTATGCTCTCTTTATTTCATAAGAAACTAGCATTTATAGAATTTTTTAATTTAAGGTTTTATATTTTTTGTAGCTTCCACAAAATTTTTGAGGACAAAAGCCATCAAAATTTAAGAATCGAGAGCAAACAATACTTCAAGTTAGATGTATTTTTCATATTTAAAATTTAGAACTGTAATTTGTAAATTTATTATATTTAAATTGTAATTTTTGAGTTCTAAGTATTTGTTTATAAATAATATTTGTTTCGTTTTATTGTAAATTTATAATTTGTTGATTTCTTCAATGAAAAAATTATTTTGTTTGTGTTACTTCGTGTATTTCGCTTTTTTATTTTTAATATTATTAAATAATATTTTGCTCCAAAAAAAAAAAAATCAAGCCGACACATTATGTTTTTCAATCTAGCTAAGTAGATTTTGAGTCAGCCCAAAACAACGTTTCGAGATAGCTAATTATCTTTTTCGAGCTAGCTCGAGTAGGGTTTCGATTCTGCTTGAACATGTGTTCAAGCCGAATTGATCACTCTCATGAGCCAAAAAATGGGGTTTGAGCTAGCTAGTTTACAATACGAAATGACTCGTAAATCTTTTGGTTTAAATCAGATTAGATTAAAATTTAATTGAATCGATCCACTAGTAGATTTCGATCCATTAAATTTAATTTTGATTTGAATTTGAGTTGCCCCTCGCTCGGCTCAAAATGGACCCATTCACAATCTTATGCATCACCGTATGACGCACTAGGCAATGTACAGGTCCACCAGGTGCTTCATTGTTTCACAATGTATATTGGAATTCCACAATGCATGTTGTGACTCTAAAAGAGATTTCACTTGAAGGAGCACATGGCAGTCGATGTTGCTCGATGGCTGGTGGGGGGTTGGGGGCGGTAGTGGATTTTGGTCGGCTCCCATAGGAGCGGGGATCGCTTGTCGAATCATCTGTGCAAAAATGACATTGTACTTCAACTCCTCTCGAAGATTCTTCAGGCTTAGCCCTTGGTCCATGTCCTCCCTCAAAAAGAAGATAAGACTCTATTTATAATGTCTGAGTGAGATCTCCCTGCAACTAAGAAATAAAATAGGACCATTCTGTTGGACGTCCCAAAGAGGTTTCCTTAATAGGATGATATTTTTGGGATATCTTAGTATCTTAATGATATCAGAATGGAGTGACCTTCGGCTTGATGAATTCAGTTCATCGAAATAGTCGATTCGATTATAAACTTGTCAGATTTAAAATTCATTTGACTTTTATAATTGGGCACCAAAATCTTTTAAAATAGATCAATGGTTCGATTTGGTTTTGATTACTCGGATAGAACAAACTCTAGTGTCATTGTACTCATCTAACCAAGCCGCTCAGCTTAAAAATAATTTTATTGAAATCAAAATTTTAAATAAATTTTATTTAATATTTCAAAATTTCTTTGTCAAAAAATTATGTCAAGATTCGTCGCGTCTCCAAATCTGTCATAAAAATTTCATTTTCGTTTCACCCCTAATGTCCGCCCAACCATACTCATAATACGTATTTGAAAAAGTTGAAGTCAAAAATATATTTAAAAAAACTCAAAATTATTGAATGGATAACAATATGTATGACTACGTTCAGAGACAGAACTTATCGCATTGTCATTTCAAAGCGCAAGAAATTAAAGTTAAGGTCCCCACTGACTAAAACTTACCCAAACGTCAACTTATTACATAATCAACATTTGACATTTTGACATGATTTGAATCTGTAAAAAAAAATTATTTTAAAAGAACTATTAACTCAAGTGTAAAATTTCTCTCTTTTTCATTTCAAGCCAATAAAAAAAAAACAATAATAATAATAAGAGTTATAATCAACCGGAACAAAATTTAGCTATTCTTCAACTTACATTAGAAAATAACCCCAATATCTACTGTACAGTTTGCATTACAAATTTACCCAAAACCAATCACTACTACATACACACAACCCGAACCCGTATATGACATCAAACCTGTCCTCCGACCTTATATAAATAACTTTATAGCATCACACCTAACTTCCGGCTGGCTAGGTCGCACTGGACCGGGGCGAACCCGACCCGACTGTTCTCCAGATCATACTCCACCCAAATATTTTGCTGATGGTGATGCCCTATAACGTAAGCCTCCATGGGCACCAAGTCCGAATTCCCAAAAGTGAAGCACCACACCCCCTCGTTATTTCCCCTCCTCTCCCCTTCTACTCGGTGCAGCACCCCCCCCCCCCCCCCCCCCCCCCCCCGCCACTTCTGCCCCTTGGAATCCCAATACAACTGCCGGAATGCGCCGCACTGCTGCCGCCGCGGCCAACTGCGTCGCTCTGAAGCACGTATCGAACGCCCCCTGAAATACATATCCTTTCTCCGGATTCAGAACACCACTTGTCTGCCTCAAAAACTCGTCTTTTAAGATTTCATAAGCCTGACCAAGCAGAAAACTGAACTGTGTGCCGGAATCGACCATGGTCTGTCCTGCGCCGGTGTGATCAGGGAGAAGGACTGATTTGGGGATCGGAAGGGTTTTAGCTCCGACGCGTATGGTTTCCAATTGGACGGAGTAAGCGACGCGGTCGAAGTAAGGGAGCGGGAGGGAGATTTGAACGAGGGGGGTGTAGTTGAGAGGGACGATGTTGGAGGGTCCGAGGAGGAGAACGCCGGCATCGCGGTCTGAGATGCAGTAGGAGAAGCGAGAGGTTTTGGTCTGCGCGACGAAGGAGAGAGATCCACGGTTCATTCCGAGCATACCGGCGGCTGTGGTATCACCGGCGGATGAAGGGGATGACTGGCAGCGGAGGTTGGTGCGGCGAGCAGGCGGGCCGCCGACGAGGAAGAGGTCGGAGACAAGCGTGCCCTCCGCAGTGGAGGCATCGGCGTAAGTAAGGGAGACGTGGCAGTTGTGGGTGGCTGAGTCACAGGAGCTTAAATTTGGGAGGTCTCTGGTTTGGGACTTGCAGGTTGGAGAGGAACATGGTATGGGGGCGTAAGAAGAGGAGGCGCGAGGGCGAAACTGAGAAAGGGGTCCGGTGTCACAAAGCAGCCATGATAGCTCGCTTCCTGTGTCGAGAACCATGGTGACGTTCTGTGGTGGGGTGCCTACGGCGATGGTGACTGTGAGGCTAACGTTTCGGTGGAACCGGAGCTTGCTGGGAGGGTGCGGGGTCGATAAAGATTGTAGCTTTTGGGTTCGAAGAGGTAAAGCCAAGCCTCCTGCTTGTGTTTCATAGGATTGGAGCTGTAGTATAACAATGATCGCAATGAGAAGTGGAAAGAACCCGGGAACAGAGGAAGGAGAAAATGCCATAATTGGTGTTTGGAAGAAAGAAATTGGAGGTGAGGGCGTATAAATAGCAGAGGTGTCCTGGCGTAGATGACTTCACACTGATGTGAAATGAAATGATTAGGAGGGTTGGAAGTATTAGGAGTGGAGTAAAAAGGAAAGCGCGTCGAAGCGGAGAAGAACGACGTCTCCCTTTCTTTTATTTTTTTTTATTTTGTGAAATTTATATATTTTTTTTGTCTGTTTAGATTCATAATTGCATTAATTTTTTTTTTTTAAGTTGATACTTAAGAATTTAATTAAAGTTTAATAGTTAAAATATACTTGAAAATTAAGCGCCCGTTTGGGGCAATTTATGTGGTGTGGTGGCGTTTTGAAAACGCACCTGACTTGTTTGGCTGAACTGCATTTTGGCTACTTATGAGTTTTGAAAACGCTGAAAACAGCATTTTCACACTGCACCTACCTAAGTGCGGCGACAGCTTTCTGACAGCGGTCTGGCTTTTCCAAAAAAATAAAAATTTATAATAGTTACCGCACCTAGCTTATTAGCATATTATTTTTTATCAACTTATCAGCAGATTATTTAATAAGCTGCAGCTGCCTCAAACATATCATAAATCTCTTAATTGAAGGAAAGATTCTATTATCTTTCCTGAGCCTTATATAATTTAAGTATTATTCATTATTCTTTTTGTTAAAACTTATTTATTTAAAAGGATCTCTATTTTGAAAGTGGTCAAAAATATTTTCTCAATAAATTAATATTAAAATAGTTATTTAAATATGTTATGCTATAACTTTTAATTAAGAAATTTTTATGGAGCACGAATCTTGATGTATCTTTAATTGTTTCAGATTCAAATTAATGATTATCGGCGTCATATATTCTACAACTTTATAATCAAAGTGACTATCTCGACAAGATAAACTTAGTAATACAAAAATTGATTCAATTCAAGTTCAATAAAACCGAAATGAAATTATTAAAACTTATTCAAAGGCTTTGGATCGTTAATTTAATGGCCAAATGAACTCCACCTTCGACAAATCTATAGTGAAATTGAGTGTCAATGAGAGGAATCCAACGAGCTCAAATCACTAAATTCTGAGGTCATTAAAGTTCTTAAATCAAAGAGAATTACTCTTATTAAAATGGGGTCCAATATGAGTCGTCTGATTAAGTTGTTAAGAAACTTATTCACTAACAAAAAAAAAATGCCCTTACTCCAGATGTTATAAAAAGACCCCCCTGTCTTTACATATGGGGAAGAGGAGAAAAGGATGAATTTCAAAGCCTGTTATAAATTGCAGAGCCCACAATAATTTTCGACATTCGTAGTCGCCAATTACTATAAACCATCGCCTGCCAGCCACAGTCAACTACTGTTGGTTAACACAACTTATTGTTGTCAACTTTTTGTTTTATGTGATTAATGTTTACAAACTTTGTCTCCTAAATACAATAGTAATGTATAACATCCATTGAAGATCTGACAATATCTTCTGCCCTCGGTAGCTGTCAGCCACAGCAGACCTTTATTGGTTGTCATCACCAATCTCTTGTCACAGATTACCTCTACTTGCAAATGTTTTATCTCAAATATGGATGTAATATATAACACCCATATTGAGCACCCCATAATCACGTCCGGAAACGTTGTCAAAAACATGATCCCCAAAGTTGTTGCAAAGCAATTAGTCAGTCACACAATAAATTGATCGATCAAGTAATATACAAAATTAGATTAACATATCAATCCTACGAGAAGCTTTGTCAAATATTTCTAATATGAGAAATTCTAATTTTTGAAACTCTTAAGCCTAGTTTGAAGTGTTCAATGTTGCAATGTAAAAATTATTCTAAATTCCTACGTCAGAAATCAGAAGATAGAATGAAAATCTCAAAAAATTTTCATAGGTGATGATGGTCATGCTCCTTCGACATTGGTTTAGTGATTTCTTGATGTTTTTTTCTATGATTTGCTCACATAATTGTTGACAACCAGGGATAAGTCCTCCATATCCAATGTCTAAATCATATAAAGTGATGCAAGTTCTTTACAATTAAAGGTATTTAACCATACAATATTTCTTGAGAATCTATAATCTCATATTTTGGTTGAAATTTCTAATAAAAATATGCATATTTCACTAGGTTATTATGTGTTAACATACTTGTTGAACAAGTCAATAGTTTGAATTTATAGATGATAAGGGGTTTTAACATATTAATTGGCTAAATCAAGAATAAATGTTGACTAAAAGGTTAACATATCAACATGGAAAATGCAAAAGCAAGAAAATTTTTTTGGGGAAACACTTATAAGGAAAAAAATGATAAACCACTATCCTTACATCACAAGACCATACAAGAGAATTTAGTTATGATGTATGAGATTAGACACCACATAAATTTTTATTGCAAATATTGAAGATACAATGTAAGAAAATATAGAAAACACACAACCGAGCCAAACAGTCATGTTAATGTTCTGAATTTCTCTCCATACAAAGCAACTCTACACAGTCTCTCACATATAAAGCACATAGTCTTCAGCTTACAATCCTCTCAACTTCTCATAGAGAACACAACAACAGATTCTCTCTATGGGAAATGGAAAGGAGAAAACCTTATGGCACACTAAAGCTCTTCTAAAAAAAGAGAAGAGGAGACCTCCAATGAGCCAAGTGAAGCCCAAAATCTTTCATGTATTCCTATATATATATTTAATGCACAAAAATTAAAATGAAACCCTCCCAGTATGGCTTTCAATATATTAGGGTGTCGTTACACCATTTATAGCACACGGGTGTCATGCGCTTAAGGGGCGTGCATGGGTGTGACTACTCTGGCTATAGGTGCACTGTGTGTTTTGGTTCCCTCATACAAAACTTTCATAATAAAGAAATAAAGCATAAATTTTAAGACGAAAAACATTACAAAGTTGATTCATATCAATTCCTCCAAACTTATCTATTACATATCCTCAAGTAGCCTCATATCAAAATTTTGGTTTGTTTAAATGATTTCTGATGCGCCAAAACTTATCGAGATTTAAGTCGCATACAATGCAAATCCATGTGTCAAGTAACAATGTAGTTTAAGAATAACTCATTTTGATCCCATAGAGAAAGTGTAATGTTTTCTTTCAATGAAAAATATCTAGTTTAACATTTCAGTTAAACTAGATTGGCGATTATGAAATGAAGGTTATTAAGTCCTAAGGCCCTAGCAAAACAAAGAATCTGGCAGCAAAAAAAAGCATAAAACATGAGAGAAAATTTTGTGAGTTCCTTCAAGATAAATGAAGCTCATGCCTTTATGATTTAGGGATCGTGGAGATCGTGATTTTTTAAAATGTTTTTCTATATGATTGTTGTCAATCGGAGATAAGGTACCTTTCAACCTTTATCTAGGTTAAAGAAGCCTAGAATGCATGAAGTTGAGGCTTCCTCAATCCCTATGGCTTTTCACATGACCTTTTTGATGCTCTCGGATGATTATATAATTCCACTAGAATATGTCTATCATCTTGGAATTCTATGGTTAACTTTTTGTTTCAACTACGTAAAAGCTAGAGGTCGTAGTTTCACCAAACATTTTAAGTTTCTAGTTAGACAAATTAAGAGTATATGAAGATGAGAGGTTAACCAACAACAAAATCTGTGAAAATTCCAAGATGATTAGTAGAAAAACATCACTCAAAACTCACAATAAATCCACTACACTCTACACCATAGAGATTAGAAGAAAAGCTTAATCGCTCATAACGAAGAAAATCATAACAAAAACTCCACATAAATTTATTTTCCAAACAACTTAAATATGAAAAACATATAAGAAATTATTTCACCATCAAAGTCAGCACATTTTCGTCTCATGCAAGATCTCTCACAACTTACAAAGTAAATAAAACTCTTCCTTGAAGGTTTTAACCCAAGAAGGAAGACAACGCTCAAGTGGTCCCCCTAAACCTCTCCCAAACTCTCTTCTTTCAGCCTCTAAGCCTTCTCTAATCCAAAAATCTTTGTTAAAAGCACTAAGATCTAATTTTTTAACAAGAATCATTGTTTGGGCCATCAAATTTTCTTTCTAAAGTGTTTATAGCTTTTCGGTGTGGTCAAGTCTGTTTCCATCGTGGTCATGTCATTCTTTTTCCACGATCGGCATGTTCACGTCAGATTATGGTGTGGTCACACTGCCCTATTGCAACATATGGCATTGTGACTCTTTAATGTGATCACGTTGATCTTGCTTGATCATTAGCATGGTCATGCCTCCTTTAGGCACGATCATGTCATTTTGGGATTCTTTCCACTAGATTTTCTTGTTCCCTCTTGTTCGTCTTCAACTCCAGCATCATGAATAATATGAACAAAATTCCTTTTTCACATATAAATTAATGATAAATAATTGAAATTAAGATGTAAAATACATAAAAAATAGCTGGTAAATTGCATTAAATTTGATGCATGTCATTATCTCTAAATGTATCCCATTACTTTCTTTCAAGTAATCAAATGGCTCAGTCTTAAATTTTAAATAAAGCTTGTACTCCTATAAAGTTCATAACCTTTCAAACTGTTGTATCAAATTTAAGTAAAAGCATGAAATGTTATTTAGACTTGATTATTTTTAATTGTTAAGGATTCAAGCCTTCCTAAATTATCTTTATGCTTTACATAGGATAACCCCCACAAATCCTTTAATTTGTGTCATTTAGAATCTCTTTCATGAATCACAAATATCTTTAGCACAATTGTAGTAGATTTTAGCCAACTTAAAGCACATTTAATTCTTATCCATTAGAATAACTTATAATGTAAAACACAATATTAAAATTATAAAAATTTAAGTACGAAAAATAAATCTAAAGTAACTTTAATGCATGTTAAACAAAATGCAGTTAAAAGAACTAAGTTAACAGAACTATTTTCTAAACTTTTAAAGTAAACTTATTAAGACTAAACAATGTTTTGTAATGTTGACCTCACTTTTGGTTGAGGTCTAGAAAACTTCTTTAGTAGCCTAGGTCTAGCCATAGGACTTTCCTATTGACTAGTCTTAGAAA